GCTTTTACAAAATGCAAAGTGTGAACCATCATCCCTACCTTGCGGGCGCTCTTCCACATGTACTTCATGTATGCGTATGTGACGTGTGGGTGGGTCGTGGGCAGCGGGTGATCCAGCTGCTTGGAGGGGTCAACACCCAGCAGCAGCACCAGGGTCTTATGGGCCAGGGCCTGGAGGGAGGAAGGGGGCAACAGGGTTAAAGGAAGCAACTGACTTTTCAGTAGGACACAGTGAACTCAAACACCGGCTGCCCTGGGCTTTCAGGGACTTTACACAACACAGGGCTTGTCACATATCAGGCTTTATTTTTAAGGAGATTAAGATAGAGCATGAATTGTACTTTAGATTGAGTGAATTAGGAATATTTTATCAACAAATGGAAACCAGAAGAGTAAAAGATGAAAGACACTCAGGTTACTCCATGAGGTGCAAGTCTGAGCTGGATCTTTTTTTTTTTGAACTCCTTCTAATTGCATTTCCTTCCTTGTCTGATGCTGGCCAATCACAGCTCATTTCTGTAGTTACAGTTCGTGATTCTGGCATCCTGCGCGCTTAAATATACCCACAGTGTGCAGATTGTCTGCCATCCATTAAAATCGATTAGAATAACAGCGAGGTCAAGAACGGATAATTGCGCCGCTTTAATTCAGCAGATATACAGGCTCAGGTTTCTAAGCAGTGTGACTGAAGCTGCTGTGTTTCTGTCGTCAGTGCCAGCTTAACACAGGTTCAGATAAAGCTGGATTTCATGGCTGGAGTTTATGGTTGCACTTAACTCTGTCAGAGCTCAATTTCCCTTTTCTGTCTGACGAAACTGATTTAATCAGCTCTGATTTGTTCCTCCTGAAAGTTTTGGGATTAGAAGGAGAAAACTGAGAGGCTTTGCACAAGAATGTCAATGCACTGACCAGGCGTCCGCTCTTGCCACAAAGGCTGGCGTATTTCAGCCAAGTCCTCATGTCCTCGTGGGGGCTGATGACCAGCGACCTGACCATCAGGATCCTCTGCCAGTCCTCGACAATACGCTGACAACCCTGGAGGAAAACACACCAAAAAACCACATTACTCTTTTGTTACGTGCTTCAAAAGGAGGCGCCTTCTCGTTAAAGTCAAGAGAGCGAAGACACGTGAGACAGCCGTGCACTTCAAACCCTGGGGGCCAGTATTACTGCCAGTGGTCCCTGTCTTTAGCATGTCCACACGTGAGCACAGGTTCACGTGCCAGAATATAAAAAAAAAAAGACAAAACTAAAGCTGGCTTCCTCTTGACCCAAACTTCAACCTCATGGTGATAAAACCCAGCGCTGCAGACATGAGCAGCAATGACAAGACACTGAAGTAATCAAACTCTGATGTATAATGTGCTGCATAATCCTCTTTGTATGATTTGAATTTAGCCCACATCTACAGGGGGCAGACACAATAACATAACTTGATTATAATTACACTGCCACAAGGAGGGTACATATTAGGTTGCATGGCAACCAGCAATAACAAATGAGGTCTTGAAATAAATGCTTTGATGAGATTTCTGAAGCAACACAACACACTAACGTCATCCAGCTTCAAAGATAATTCAACCCATCTTTGTGTCTGCAGTGGGGATTTATTTATTTCATAGTTTCACAAACCTTTCCTTAGATGGCCAAAGCGTGCTGGGACGAGGCTTTTAGTAAGCTGTCAAAATCTGAGGCGAGAAATAAATACTGCAGTTTCTGAAGTCGGCTTAACGTGATGGGATGGAGGGGTCGAGTCCGGGTCAGGTCGGGCAGGAGCTGTGCTCAAAGATTAGAATGATTTGGTTTGAGTTTAACTTGATGAAATTATTGATATTCTGCTAAGAAAGTGTGAAACATGCAGTTAATCCAGCATGACTAAAGGGAACAAGTGCTGATTTGTGTATTTAAATCACTTCTTAAAACACATTTTATAGACTCGCTTTCGAGTGATGTTCTCTTTTATTTCTCTTTTAGATTTTCTTTTCCCTTTTTCTATCGTTACTGCCTGCAGTCCTGCTCTCTTTTCTCTTTCTTAATCTACTTCTATCTTCAGTTTTAATCTTAATTCCTCTCTGTGGTTTCGTCTTTTTAATCAGTTTTTTTATAACATACCTTCCAATAGTGACCCAGCCTGTTCTTTCCCATTTTTATTGTGTGTATTTTCATATTTTGAGTGTTTAACTGCACTTTTTATGCATGTTGTTTTCCTGTGTTGCCTATACAAACAAAGTTTATGATTATATGAATATTATATTTATGTGGGCATCGCAGCAGACAAGTGGTCTAAGGCACATATGGCCTCATTACAATGTGGTCGTGGGCCGCTGTTGCCTCGACTCATGCCAACAGTTCAGAATGACAGCTAAACAAGAGTTTATTGAAGAGTTTCTCCCTTTCTTTGGGGGTGTGACGGACAGCGATGCCTTGACCGATGTGTGAAGCCGGCCTCTGAGGGAGATGCCGCGGCCCCAGATGTGGAGCTAACCCCTGTTCACTGAGAAAGACCCGCAAACCAGCCGGATCTTTTACAGAGAAAAGTCAAGAAGATCAAGATTATCTTCCTGCCCCTGCACAGGAAAATAAACGGTCAAACAAAATGTCACAGAACTAAATGAGTTGCAGTTCGGTACATTAAGGTCATAACGATGAACATGTGTTCTTTGTGTTGACCTTTATTGAACAAATTAAATATCGTAATTCAAATACTATCATGCAAAGATTAGCTTTCGTTAATTTGAATCCACATTCCTACATCTGCTGCAAGAAATCCGTCTGTCTGAAACAAACACCTCTCAACAACAACACACTTCCTTTCTCTGTTTCTATCTGTGGCACCAAGTCAGGGCCAGTTTTAAATAATTTACTGGATTATTAATTAACATTTTTCCAGCAGTCACATCGATCTTGGATGATTTCTAGCATCATTTCTCAATTTTGAGTTATTTGTCTGCAGATCTGAGCGCTACAAAGCGTCAAAGCAGGGAAGACTATCAGTCATCCATCAAGAAATATCAGAGCTAAAAATTACAGCTAAGGATTCATCAACCAGGTCGAGCGAACTGTCCGAGACCAGTCAGGATCGGCACAGACGGGTGTCTGAGCTGCAGCAGCTGGTGTCCAAACAGAGAGCTTGTATCAGAGCAGAGGAGCAGAAATGTACAGGACAGCTCACAGAAAGGTTAGAAGAGAAGATGTTGAATGAGAAAGAGCAGACCGAAGGTAAACTCCCAGCGGTCAGGCTGGAATCTGAACAGGTTACAAGCAAACGGGCGGCGGAGCTGGAGAGATGGACTTCTACCGAAGAACCTCCAGATGTGTAAAGTGTAACAGCGCTGCGTTAACTGCCTTCAGGCTACGTCAGATGTTCTTTTGAAAAAAAATATACTGGAGCACTCCAGGCAGCACATACAGTCCTCAGACGAACACGATCTGCCCGGGCCGCGGTTAAGGTGAAGGATGACGCAGGTTTTGTTTTCAGTGAAGATGATTTTCCAAAAGATCTAACATCTGAGCAGAGGGGCAGGAATGTCAACAGGGCCGAGCTTAAGCAGCATTATACATGCTGTATTTAACGGCCAGCTTGGTGTCAGGAACGGTACATCACAGATCAGTAGCTTAACAGCATATCTTCCCAACTTAATGTTTCCCATCAACATGCACATACAAGGCTGAGGATGAGGCGCCTACAGACTTAACTGTAACTTGGCAGCAAAAGCTGAACCTGAAAAGTTTTACCTTCGATCAGATAGCGTTCGTCTCGAATTCCAAAGACTTGGCAGGCAGGAAACATTTCCTGACTGCTCGAGGATTTCTGGTTCTGTCTCATTTACCAGCACTTACAACAGCGTGGTTCACAATTAATCACGACAATAAAAATAATCACAGGGGTAGAAGAGTGTAGATAGGGTTACACGACATGAGCCACACTTCACTTTCTGAACATTCCCACAAGGCTCTGTTCATGCAGCTGATGGCAAGCAAGGCCGCTATTAGCTCAGAATTGATTGAATTTTAATTTTGAGTGTGTTTTTTTGGGGGGGGGCCAGTAGAACAGGACAACCCTCCAGCGAGCTCATGACTTACAAATACATTCACTGTTTCTCACCTCTAGTCACGACCTTCAAGCTCCAAACAGAACAATTAGAACATGTGATTAAGCGGCTGAAGTGAGTTCCTCCCCCTGTAACCAGATTTATTACTTTCTTCAAAGTCAGAAGTTTACATCCATTAAGATGCCTTCAAACTATTTGGGAAAACCCAGGTGATGATGTCATGGATTTGGAAGCTTCTGATTGGTTAATTGACAACATCTGAGTTAATTGGAGGCACATCTCAAGCACACTGCTTCCTTTAGTGACAACATGGAACATCTAAAGAAACCAGCCAAGATATCAAGAGGAGAACTGTGGACCTCCAGTAGTCTGGTCCATCCTTGGGTACAACTTCCAGATGCCTGAAGGTTCCACGTTCATCTGTTCAGACTAAGAAAGCTTCATTCACTGAGACACCGGTGTGTGCCTCTGCATGTACGTATAGAAAAAGTGTTGTTAGTAACAGCACTTTTTTTGCTCTACACTGCATTTGTTGTGCGTGTCGATATATGATGTGTTGTCGTCACCTGAAGCCTCTCCCACCACGTCTCCCGGATGATGTCCCTTCTCTCCGGCACCAGCTTATACTGGATGACCTCCTCCAGCTCTGACAGCATCTGGCAGGATACCATGGCCTAGGAAACAGACAGACACATTCATTCACATACATTGCATAATCCCCACATGATGCAAAAGTCTCTTGTAAAAAGCTCCTTCATGTAAAACAAACAATGCAGCTGACAAGTCAATCAGAATCTGCAGATGAATGCATTCACCCACAGGACCTACTTGATCTGTCAGTCAAAGCCAGTTTGTTTTATGTGAAGACTTTGTTTAGATTTCTGCCACTTAAAGCAGCACATCTAGATGAAGATGAAGTGTGTCTGCAGTCCGTGTACATCAGGATGAAGTAGCTTTCATCGTAATGTTATCCATACGAAAGGAACACTGCTGCCAATTTCAACTGTTTATTTGAACTACTGCACGGATAATTTATCATGTGCGTAAAATAAAACAGGAGCTGAGTGCAGGTTAGACACTTTCTATATCGTTGCTGTAATGAAACGCTGTTGCTGTGACCCACTATGCATGAACTGTATGAAAAATGAGGCGGTCAAACGAAGCCAGACGCTGAATCTTTTAGAGGAACATTTACCCCGTAGGCCCGACTGTAGCTCTCTCCAGCCATCGCCGTCAGCTCGGCATCCAGGAGGTCTCTTGCTTTATCAATGCACTGTGGAGGAAAAAAAACACATTTACATTATGATTTTAAATATTAAATCATCTTGAGCTTTAAATCACACATAATTAAAGCGATATCTTGTTGTTTTTACTTGTTCAAGTATAGCTGAGACATGCAGATTGTTAATTAACCGGTGAAATCCGAGTCTATAGATTTGTAAAACTGAGGACTTAATTTTCTTACAAATCCAACAATCCATTCAAATTGGCACGACCCCAGAACATATCATGACACGTGCCCCGAAAAACTCATCAGGACTAGCTGGGTTTGAACCAGGCCCAGTGGAAAAAAAAAACACAAAACACATAAACGAACAAAGCCACATCACATGTAAGTCCATGCTGTTCACACCCCTCTCACTTAGGAGACGCCAAGAATAACACGTTACTGGAACTCCGACTAGAATAGTATATTGCCAGTATAACAAAATAATTTGACGCGCCGCTGAGCGCCAAAGTGTTTTATAAGTAGGGGCAAATGAACTGTTGAGAGCAACAGTGTGAAAGTTATGTAAGCATGGTTTCGGGATGTCAAAGCTATTTAAAAAAAAAAAAAAACAGCCTAAAATGTAATGCACGTTCAGGGAAAGACGGAGGAAGTGGACGGCAAAAGAGAAGAATTCGGAGTGGGAACTGTTAGTCACGGTTCCTTCCATGACCACAACGCAAAAAAAAAAACAAAAACCTGAAACCTTTTCATGATGTTCGACTGTCAGTGTACAGTCACTCCCAGAGCCTTCCTGTTTTTGGAGCGTTTTACTGTATGTTACGGACTCGTTTGTAGCATTCCAGCTCTCTGACTTTTCCTACCAGAACCAAACTCAAGGATACAGCAGACATTCCATCACCAGCGAGAACCCCGAGGGGTGGAAAAACAGCAACTGAGAGAAAGGACCCGATCCAAGGCAGCAAAAAAGGGACAAACAAGGACACAAGGACTGAATAGCTGCTGATTTCTTGGGCTCCTACAGCCAAACGTTTTTGGGAACTGTTATTAGTGGAAAGGTAAAATGATGGAGAATGACTCAGGAACCCCTCGGAGGCCAGGACACACAGCTGTTTCAGACCGACTCCCACCAATTATTTTTTTTCACAGGGAAGGAAAGGAGGAACGGAATGCCATAACACCTCTGGAGGCACCCACAACAAAAGGTGGGGCTGTGGGAGGGTGGCTGGGACGAGGTGACAATGAGGCTACTTCTTTATGGTCTCCACTCGGTTATGGTCCTGTTTACTCCTGAATTACTGTGCTGGGGCCTCGCTGGAAATGTGCAGCCCAGACGACTCCTGATAAATGCAGTGTCTGGCTTCTGGCAACACAAACAAACTATGACACAATCTTCTATTCTCTTACATAAAGGTTGCACTTATGTACTTACATAAGTCCAGTGATATTACTTTATCATTACAGTGTGTTATGATGTCCTGTTTGCGAATGGCTGGAGGCAAATCAGCCGCTACAGGACCTGAAACAAAGCCCGAGTATGACTGCGAAGTCAAAACGAGGACAAGACCGTTTACAAATCAAACGCACACTGGAGGGCTGCATATATCATGAATCTGCTCTAGTGGGGGGGAGCGTGACTGGAGCGTCTACACATCATCGCTGGAACAGACCTAAAATTTATAAAGCAAAGCAACCTGAAACCTCTCACGCAGACGCACGCCAAGACTCACGGAGCACATGTCTGCTTGTTAAGGGTGTAGCGGGAAGAAGGGAACAGCCTGATAGAATCAAAAGAACCTAAGTGCGAGGATTACGAACCACATCCGGAAAACCAGACTGAGCTCATGTTGACATTCAAGCTTTCACCCTCGCACCATCTGCTTCTAATTCTTCTTCGTTCATTGTGAGCGGCTCATTGTCGACAGCTGATGCAGAATCCTACGGGCCACACCTGGACCAAATCTCTAAATTATGGGGGGGGTTGTGAAGGGACGAGGGGGGCATAGAAAGCAAGTCTGATGAGTCCAGGGGAATCGGAGGAGCAGGTGTTTACTGCTGTCCGTGCTGGAGCTCGTGCTGGCATTCAGCTTGAACAAATCCATCTCCGGAGACCATGAGCTCATGTGAGATCCCCAGCCTTCATCAAATGAGGAAAACACCACCCATGATCCCCACCAGACCCCGTCGACAGGCACACAGGAGGAGTTACAGGCTCTTTATTTGTTTGAGATGATTTACAATTTCAGGACTTACATAACGTTTCCACACCAAGGGGGTACCACATTATACCAAAAAAAAAAAATCCAAGCCTTGTGCATTTTATTGCTTTTAATGAAAAGCCTGAGCTGATGGGGGAATTCGACTCCATCTGGAAGAGTCATCAAGCTGTTTCATGCTCCGATACGGCGCTGGTTTCCAGTCACTTTAACTTCTTACTCCTTCCTATAAAGACTAAGAAAAACTGCAGAAGCTACAAGCAAACTCTCTCAAAGGATGTCTCGTCTAAAAATACATACTCACGATGTACATGTTCTCCACCGGGTGGATTTCTGAGTGATGATGTAACCCACCTGCTGGGCCAATGAGAAGAGGTCCTGATGCAGCGCGAGCACTGCTCTGTAAAACGCGCCATCATGTGTGTCTCGAGGGATCATACACGTGTACTCCTCCATGCTGTCCCAGTGTCCTGGAGAAACAACAACCAAGGCATGAAAGAGAACAAAGAGGTCATTGCACTAGAGGGAAATCTGTAAAAATGAAAATGAGCATTACTTAAGCTTAGCAGCCTTTTCATAGCTGCCATGACACATCCCACCCCACCTTGCTATAATATAAATTACTGCAACGTCAATAATTTGCTTCCCAAAGACATCTTCCAGTAGCCAAGCCTACTAGTTGGGCGCCGCCTCGGGTTTACAACTGAGTTTGAAAAGTCAAAGCCGCAGACCAGAAAGCTCTAGGGTTGCTTGTATAGTGTGGTTCCTGCTTTTCTCCGCCATTGCACATTATGATATGTCAGTATTATGACTGGATACCATTCCCATCTGGTTATGTGAGGGAGACTTGGCAAGAGCTGTTACTGTTTTCACTGCTGTAGTGAGTCAGACGGAGAATCAGCACTGAATGCTTTCATACTGTTCACTATTAGTCTTTCCAGTGACTATTTTTATGTAGTGATTTATGTCTGATATGAGGCATTCGAGCAGTTACCTAGACCCCAGGCCGCAGCAGCAGCCATACGAGCCATCTTGGCCTGGGTTTCCTCGCTGACCAGCGTCCATTCTTCACAGCACTGCTGATGCAACTGGCCCCTGGAAGACATTAACCACAGGCCTCAGATGGGAGAAAATATAGTAAATTCCGATTAGTTCGGTACCATGTTCACAGTGATGACGTCAGATAAACACCACAGCATGTACAGCGTGACATCAGTTAATGAGAAACTGATCTAAGCTTCCTGGTTGATCAGCTGCATGTCGCTGTATAAACAGCAGCACTGCTACATGGGCTGAACCACAACAGTGCAAAATAGGATGAACCTGGAGTATGCTCTACCATTGGACAATCTGAAAAGATTTACATATCACTTGAGGTGTTCTCCGTTAACTGTCCAGGATTAAACCAACACTCCGACGATGCCGAAATCTCCGTCCTCCAGGAAGAAAGACGACTCTTTCCTGGGAAAACTTGGTGGAACTTTGGTGAGAAGGAAAAAGGCTAAAGAAGTGTCCAAGCTTCAGGAGGAGGGAATAAATGCCATCAACCTTCCTCTCAGCCCTTCACACTATGAGCTGGACCCTGAGGACACCATGCTGGAGGAGAACGAGGTGTGCACCATGGTCGACCCAAACTCCAAGACCGACCGCAAACTGCAAGAGCTCATGAAGGTGTTGATCGACTGGATTAATGACGTCCTGGTCGGGGAGAGGGTTGTCGTGAAGGATCTGGCTGAAGATCTGTAAAATGGACAAGTTCTGCCGAAACTGTTTGAAAAGCTGGAAGGCGAGAAGCCGAACGTGGCCGAGGTGACCCAGCCGGAAATCGCCCAGAAACAGAAGCTGCAGATGGTTTTGGAACGAATCGATGACTCCCGAAAACTGTCCACCAGGAACATTCGCTGGAACGTCGACTAAACATGGCTCCATGACAACATCCCAGACAGACAGACAGCTGGAGGGGATGCAGACAGACGGACAGCATCTGTGGCTTCACCATCGTGTGTCTTTGTGTCCCTGAAGACCTACCAGCACCTGAAGATGTTCAAGGTGATGGCAGCGTGCATGGACGCAGCGCCCCCTTCAGGAGACAGCGAACGTTTAGTGTCTTGTCTATCCCTAATTAAATGATCCTGAAGAAACGCTCTCTCATCCTGCCTGTACTACTGTGTATGTACAGTGAAATTACAATAAATTTGATTTGATTTGACGTCTAAGAGTTGTGAGTAAAGTTCCAGATACTATATATGTAACATGCATTCACTAAATGGTGGAATGTTCTGCTTTGGAACACGATGAAGTTGATGTATAGGTGTAGATGAATGATGTGTTCATTTCTGGCTGACATGAATTTGCTTCTAAAACTTCTCTTCAGCCATTCTTCACTATATAAATACAAGTTTACGTTTCCGGCACCATGAATGAATTGAGGAAATGATCCAAGTGTTTCTGGCCAAGGATGAAGAGGACTGAGAACAGGACCGGGGTTCTATTCCATCCCTCATCACTGATTTGTTCATTTGTTTTTACAGATGAACATTAGAACCGTTGTACTGATAACATGAGGTGTCCCGGCGAACAGATGGGAGTTCCTGTCTGGGAGAGGCGCATCTGAGCAAGACTAATCCTTCATTACCAACAAATCAGCACACTGTCCAGGAGGAGATCAAACCCGCCGCATGTGTTTTACAGGCAGGACAAATGGAGAGAGCTCAGACGAGAAAAAGAAGAGCCGAGGCGGGTTTGGACGGGGGTCAGTGAAGTGAAGTCTTTTTCCATCTGCCTGGCTATCGTATAACATGAAAGCAGCGAGTACAAAAAAAAAAACGCTCTGCTACACTGGCACATGTACGTCTATAGCAAACACAGGGAGTCCATCAGGAGGAAGAGTTGGACTTATCATTTGACTCAGCAGGCCATCAGTCACATCTTTGGAATTTCAACTGAAGAGGAACGACAATAAATTATGACGGCTAAAAAAGAAAAAGACATTATTTAGTCATACTAAGGAGTTTTAAAGGCTGCACAGCATTTTTTTGACTCACTCTGGTGTTTTCCCAGAACCGTGAGCATCGGCAGCGGCTCACCCTACAGGAGTTTTACAATCCTAAGAAAATTTGGACTCAGTCTGCCAGACACTGAGGCCTTGTCCACATGCAGCAGGGTAGCTAACAAAATGAAGACGTTTTTTCTGTGATGTGGCCCGTCGTCCACAAGATTTACGGTATTAAAAATGATTCTTTCAAAAACCTCTGACCAAAGTGAAGACCTGCGAATCCTCCGTTTATGTGTCCATATGTGGACGCTAATGACCGGGTTTTAGGTTTTGAAACGTCACTTCCTGCAACAAAATCTGTTCTTACGTCACATATGCGACCTGTGTTTACATTCTGAACAGCGTGGATGCCCTCAGAACTGTGCTGTCTCTGGTCCAGGCCCAGATACCGCTCCACGTACAAGAACACAGGACGACGTGTAGGACGGTTATTTAACGACGTCGAGAGATGGAAGTTTACTCTGATTGGATAGGATGTGGGGAACTACTGCCACCTAAAGGTTTAGGATGCTTATGTATGTCCTTAACAGCACATTTATGCGGCTAGGTGTGGATGAATTATTTTTCTAAAAACGAGGTGGTGTGTAGGGGGGCATAGGGATATTCAGTTTTATGAAAACCCTGCTACGTGTGGACGAGGTCCAAGTCAGACCAAGATCCCAGACCAGATTTGTTCTTCCATTGTCAACAGGCCTGTCTGTACTTGATTGACATCTCCCTCACTCTCTTTGCCTGAGTCAGCTGGGATAGACTCCAGCACCCCTAGTGAGGATTAAGGTGTAGAGATGATGGATGGATAATTTAAAATTTTATGACAGGCTTCTAGACTAAAGCCGATAAAAAATAAGTCACCAACTCTTCACTAAAATTTGAGTTTGACTGCCAAACACCTGAACTCCGGGCGCCCTGGCAGCTCAACCAGATAAGACGGTGACCCGTGAACAGGGCTGTAGTTCCCCGACGCCGCGGTCGTGGATTCGACTCCCGCACACGACCCTTTGCTGCAGGTCTCTACCCACTCTTCTCCCTCTTTCCTGTCTCTCTCTACTGGTCTGAATAAAGGCAAAAAGCCCCCAAAAATGTGTTAAAAAAAAACAAAACAAAACATGACCTTCACTTTAACAATCCCTCTTCTCTCTCGTACAAAGATCTGTGCAGCACAATGTGATTGTGTAACAATGTGGTCCCTGAAGTCGGATCTCTTTTGACTCATGACCCACTCAGCTGTTATGTCATCTCCAAACCTTACCCATCGGCACACAAACATAAACAGGAAGCTTCACTTCACATTAAACGTCTTTCTTTTGCAAAATGACTGAATCACTTTCTTGTGAAATGACTGAGAGTGTACCCAACAATGACACAAGGTAGACAGGTTACATAAGTAAATTAACATCTGCTTTGCGTCATAAGCTCTGTGACGATCCGCATATTTGGATCCTCTGGACATCTTGTGACTTTCTTTTTCCTTAAAAATGCGCTTTGAAAGGGGCCGGTCATTACGGAGTTCAGCTTCAGCTGCGGTGAGGTTCATTGGCGTTGGATGCCGGTGCAGGCGCTTCCCGTTAAAGTGACTTTGGTTAAACTCAAAGGAATGAAAAGAGACACCTAATGCCGGGACTTGTTAGAAACAGGCAACCGAGGCAGAAACTCACAGCAAACCTACAACCTCAGACGCTGTCTTTATCCATCTGAGCCGAGGTTTAGGAACTGAAGGACCCGATGTTGTCTATATAAGTAAATCACAATGATAAAAAGCTCAATGTGTTTAAAAAAAGATTGTGGTAAGTTAAACACAGTCCTGATAAATACTGAGTAAGCTATCAGTGAATGTGAGACCTGAAGACTGAAACAGTGATTGGAATTAACTTCTGCAGCCCTACTGAACACGTAGCCGGCGTACCATTCTCCCAGGGCCTCCAAGCAGCGCATCCTGCCCAGGATGAGTTCTGGATCCTCTTTGTTCATGTCGATCTTCTTGTCATACGCCACCAGGGCATCCTCCCACTCGTGAAGCTTTTCATACCAGGTGGCTTGGATTTCCTAACAGAAAAAATACAGTGAATAGTAAATCATTACAGCACTGAAAGGCTTAAATTCACAACTTCATCAGCCTGTCTCGGGCCTGTTACAGCTAACAGTCATGTCTAAGGTCATTTCTGCTTTACTGACCATCCCCAAACCTCGCATCCTCCCACAGTAAACCTTTTCAAACGGTCTTATCTAAGCTGAGCCATATTCAGACATGTGGCAACTGTGGATTGTGGAAAAAGCTGCACTTGTAGGTCTTATATCAGAGTTACACCAGTTTGCTTATGGGTCAGTTGCCATAACAACAACTGGTACACCGCTATAAAAGTATAAAGTCTCTCATTTCAAACTACACTAGAATCATATTTTTAGTTCATTATTGCATCCTATGTTAACTTTATGTCCCGAAAAACGAACCCCTTCAGGAGGAATAGGTGTTTGTGTTTTCTGTATTTAAGCATTTGGTAATTTCTGCAAAATTGTTCCTATTCTTAATTGAAAATATATTTGATTAGATTTGTAAGGAATAATAATACCGAATACCCCGACGCAAAAAACAATCGCTCACAATGCATTTTAAATTATTTCTGTTAAAAATATTTCAGACTAGACGTGCAGCACTTTGTAATAACATAAACCAGTGCCTGGCGTTGGTCTCGTCAAGGAATAAAGATGTAAAATAACACCAGTTTATTTAACTGGCTGATCCTGAACCTAAAAAGCCTGTCTGGTACTTTCACACGGGGAAAAAGAAAAGAAAAAGAAAAACCACAGTTACTAAATGATGTAATTTCGGTAAAGTGATGGAAGCAGAACAGAATAACAAAATGCTCTTTTCCTGTTATGTAATTGATGTGGAAACTGTGTGTGATCGTGTCCAACGCATGTCCACTCTCTGACAGTTATTTCATATGTGGAACGGGTCCATCTACAGAGAACATGGAACACAGCAGCGTTATTAACGAGGTGCAGTCTTCGACGTGAGCTGAAACCAAAACAGACGTAAAAAAACATGCTTGATAATGATGGAAATGCAGGTTTTGATTGTGATGCAGATATTCTGTTTGTATGTGTTAGGATGGTACTTTACATTATTTTAAAGAGAACCACGCCCTTCCAGGTGCCTTTGTTTTTTTGTTTTTTTGAACTACACACTGTTACGGCTGCCGGGCCTTCCTTCTTTTGCATTTGCTTCAGTATGTAAATTACAGTGTGCCGTCGCCGCTCGCCGATTGGTCCAGAGCAGATGGGCGGAGATGAGCCAATGGGATGTTCCAGCTGGTGATGGCGATCTCTTTAGTTAGGGTTAGGGTTAGCTGGCTGGGTGGCTGTACTCAGCAGTGCCTTGTTCTCTTGGGAGAAGTTTATGTTGTGTTAAGGCACTTAGTCAAAAAGCTGTTGTGGGACAGGGCCAGTTAAGAGGATTAATATTATTTACTAGGAAGGTGCTGTTCTGTGTACTTTGATTTTGAACACTTCTGTTGAAATTGGTTTTACTTTGTTTTGTCAGTTGCGAGTTATTTCTATAAGATCTTCTGTCTGTTTGCTAAAGTTAACCAAGCACCCTTATGCCCTGTTGTCCCTCAGTTTGGTTGATTTTGGTGAGCTCTGTTCATAAATAATAACTAATTACATCTGGTTTTGTTGCTTCCTTTTTCCCCTTTCATGAGCTGGGCTGTAACACACATTAGAGACACATAACAGGAGTGTAGAAACCAATAACGTAACCAAGGCTGATAACGTAGTAAAAGTCCTGAACTGATAACGTAATAACTTATTACATTATTGGTCGATTATTACATTTGCAAAGAACTTTTTTTTTTTTTTTTTACAAGGCCAATAACATATTCACTTGTTACTCTATTGACCAAAAGATATTACATTATCGGTTCAGGACTTTTATTACGTTATTGGCCTATTACATTTTAAAAAGTGCAAATTTATTACGTTTTCGGCTGTTATTACATTACTGGCTTCTACAGGGTTTGCAAAAATGTATGAAAATCCAAACATCCTGTGAATTCTTTTTTCTTTAAATCTTTCCCCATGACTTCTGATCACTGGCTTTTCTACCTGCTTCACACTGAGAACATGGTGTTCTGGGAGTATGTGCCTCAAATAAACATCATCCCCATGTTAAAATGTGCATATGAGGAAAGGATAGCCCAGGTAGTACACAGGCAAGAGTCCTTGTTTAATACAGCCCACTATGCTATACTGAGTCCAATGATGCATAAAGAAATGCTGCGCTGACAAAATGAAATATCATCTTCCTGGTCTTGTTTAAAGAAAACAACCCAGCAGTTTGAAGACTTATTACTGCAGCAATCATTTTATTTTGTGCCATATAGAATTATGACCACATTACACATACCTACCACAGAGCATTTTATCTTCAGCACGTGATTCATGAATGTAATGTAATGTGATGCTAACCGACGCTGCTGAAAAGCCCTAAACAGCAGCACCCCTGCTGCAATGAAAGAGGAGGCCAAGATGTCTGTCCTGCTGTCAGTCGGAGGTCTCTTCCACACGAGGATACAGGATATCCTGGGATATTTTCTGAGACGGATGCTTTCCCCTTCTCTTTAAACGCTAGTTGGCAAAATATCTCTCTCAAAATGCAAATAGTACAAATGTGATAATAAAAATGCTGATCAGAGGACATTGTCATTTCACTGTTACTTTAAACCTCGGATGCTGTGGACCAAATGTTAGAGAGGCTTTCTTTGTGCTGCTGAGGCGGTGTGTCAATGCCAAGTTAATTCATAAACTAACTGCTAGTGCTAATCAATCCAGACCTTAAAAGGCAAGAACAAATTTATGTTTGAGTGATCTGAAACACTGTTTGGGTGCGAGTCTCAAAAACAAAGCAATGACAAGACCTGAGTCAGTGAAACTTAGGATTTGGTTTTTCTTTTTCTGTGTGGAGGCAATAAAAGGGATGTAAGAAATAAAGCACTTACCAGTTCACCAAAGTGTTTCATGGCATATTCCAGGACTCCAGATGCAGCTTCCGGCTGCTGCAGTTTATTGTTGATGCTGCAAGACATTAAAAAAGCAATAATAACGGGTTATTATGGCAGTTTGAGCACAAAACCCGGAGCAAAATGTTTGAGGAGACCTGGTACAACATGTGGACAACATGTAGCTGCAACAACTTACTGTACAACATTTTAAATAGAAAACTGCAGTGAAAAAACGTTCCAAAATGGTTTGCAAACTTTCCTTGATGATACACAGGTGGGCGGCTGAGTAGGTGTTATTAGTGTTTCAGATGTCTGACCTTCTCTGAGAAGAAACTATCGACACCTTCAGTGTGTTGACACAGCTAAAGGCAACATCAGCAGCAAGACAAACCCTGTCCTCAGAGCAGTGTGGAGTTTCATTTATCATCAGAGCGTACGAACATTCCCACGCAAAGTATGGACTCTGTCAACTTGTACTTGTGAATGTGTGTAAATATAAGCACAGCTCAGACCATGTCCTCACCGGGACGCCAACCGGCGACCTTCTAGCTGCGAGGCGGGGCCACCAATGAGCCACCTTGCAGCCCGATATGGAAAACCGTCCATTTTATATCATTCATTTCAACGATGAATGGATTATTGATGGTGACCGAGTATGAGTTGAGGAAACTGACAGCCTGAGCGCTTTAATGCAGGATCAAGCAAACGGAAACACGACCTCTGGTTGCGTTCCAGAGCTCTTTAGCATTGGCAACAGTAATAGTATACAGTAATAAAGTATGCCCCCATGCATTCCTGCTCCTTGAAGAAACAGTAATTCACACACCACTTACAATATCCAGTCAACTGAGAAACCCGTCTCAATGCATTTTGCCAAAGGTAAATAAATGTTTTATCTCTCAGCAAAGGTGTTTATTGTGAAAACTAAATGCACCTACGGACATCTGTCATGCCCGCTTGACAAATGATGCGTTATCTGTCAGGACACCACAATTCCCGTTTGTGCACTCTGCGTTCACCCGCACCGCGGCCACATCTGGAAACACTCACAGGGACCGCAGGTCTATTATATTTCCTCAACTGCAAAACCCGTGTGCAGCCACGGCCAGTACATCTGTAAAATGTATCGTTTGAAGAGCGCTGGTATGCGGTGGAGTTCCTGAGGACAGCGAGCAGAAGCTGATGAAGGATCTTCAAGCATATATGTCAGAAACTTGGTCTGACGCGGGGTAAAGGCCAAAAGATGTGATGAAGCGGCACAGCGAGGGGTCACGCCGAAGCTTCACGACCTGCTGGTTCAGAGCTGCACGATAACAGATAAAATAACAGCTACAAGCACAACAGGAGCTGAAAACAATAGGCCACGTTTGTGTGACCTTTTTTTTTTGGTAATGTCTGTTTGTGAAAATGTTTCTATACGTAACACTCATCCAATCATAAGTCAGCTTCCCATCAGAAGAAGATCTAAAGTCTGGAGATATGGATCCAGTGTCATACTGCATGATAGTCGAATATTCACAACAAGGTCTTTGGAAGTGAAATAAAATCCTGTTACTCATTAAACCAAGCCAGAGACACTTCTTATCCTCAGATCTCACAGAACAATGAACGTCGCTCTGCAAGATCATTTGAGGAATTCTTTTTGGAGGGCTGCTGGTATAAACAGATGACGGAGGGTGTAAGACTTTACGACTTCAAGGAAATCAAATTAGACAGAGTGTGATTGCATAACATGAGAAAATGAGCTCATTTTGGTAAATAAGCATTTGTCTGTGACTCTCACGGAGCTTGATAGAGTGCCACGCAGCGTTTCAGCAACCAATTAAGCAACCACCACCCAGGATCTTGGAGAGCGCTGATTACGCCGCGCGGGAACGTTGTGTACACTTGATCATTTAAATCGGGTCCGCAAACGACTTCTTCTGCTGTCAAATGAGCAGCTTTGAGACACCGAGTGAACAAAGAGCCGTGACGCCGCCGCATCCCACCACACACGAGCTGCTGAATCATGCCGCAGCTGCCCAGATGTGGTTTTATCCGAGAAGACGAACCAGAATGAGGGCTTTCTCTGCTGCAGACCCAGGAGATTTCATTGTCCCTCAGCTGAAGCCATATGGCTGCCAGCTCCAAGCACACACAGGCTAAATTTAACCAGATGACAAGGCTCACAGAACGTTCTCAAGTAAAAACTTATTAGAGATCACCGTCAAGCCTCTGGTTTGTGTAGCTTCCTAACTTCAGTCTGATGAGCTCCTGTGAGGCGTGGAGACGTCGTCCTATAGAGCTCCAGCTGAGGTTCTAATTATTACAGCTTACTATATAATTTAGGCAATCTTCTGTGCATCCTGAATCAGTTTTTAGGTTTAATTCTGAACCCTAAATGAGGTTAAGGTATTCTTTTTTTTGTCCACACAAGGGAACATCCTTCATACTGATGCACGAGGCTTCAGAGTAGACATAATACTGCACCAGACCAGGGCAGACCACATGCCCAGACTGCTCATAAGAAAATCTCTGCTGCTCAGCTAACTTTGGACTGGGAATTTTTATTGCCCCTTTGACTTAAAAAAAAAAAGAGCACTGCCACATTCATCTGGCTACCTGCTATATATAATAATAATAACGTATACTGGGCTTATTGTAATGAAAGCTGTTGATTGAATGTCTCAGGTGGGGATCAGGCTCAGCTCTGCCGTTAAAGTTTCAACACAGATGATTCGTCATATTTCTCTTAACTGTAAGCCGGCATGCGTTCTGTAGATTTGGCAGAATTTAACAAGACATTACTACCTTGGGTCAGAAAGCACCGAGAGGGAGGAGAGAAAGAGATTTCCTTTTCAAATGTAAAACTCTTGATTATGAATGACAACTAATCGCACGAGATGGAGAGAAAATCTCTTGTACTCATCACTCAACTATTAGAAAGTGACGGGGCTTCTGGTTGAGAAAAGGGAGCTGATCCGTGAGGAAACTGTAGATGTTTCCCTCCTGGGGGTTAATATATATGCGAAGAAAAACTTGGGCTTCACCACTGTACCTAATCTAATATCATTAGGAAGCTTTCCACTTGAGCCTGGCTGATGTTTTTGGCCCCTTGTTTGCCAAACTCTCACTGCTTAATACTGAACAGAACAGGAAGGACTGTCCAGACACCGTCGAGGAATTGTTTGACTCAAGGTCCACTGAATTGGATCCTTTTTAAAAAATTTTTAAACGTGTATCTAAGTTTGGATTTTTCTTAAAAACATCTTATATAATATTGGCAGATGTTATCAACAAAGA